TCCAGGATAGCAGTGTAAGATGCTGTTGATGTGGGCCCCAGGTAGTTTCACAGTCGCAGTCACAGGGACACAGCCGGCCAGCACAGTGTGAGGCCGAGCCGGTGGGCTGTGTGTGTTGGAAGGGAGGCATGTGTTTTCCAAAGAGCATGGGATTTTCAAGCCCCCATTGGGAGTCAAGGGGAATCTGTGAGGGTGATTTATACCCTCATGCTTTAAATGCTGGTGTGACCTAGCTGTCACCACAGAGTATTTGCTGCCTCCGCGGAGTGTATAGCAGTGTGCATGTGTGTGGGAATGCGTGTGCAGGAGCAGGTATGTAGGAGTACACGTGCCAGCTGTGGAATACGTAACTGCGCACATGTGCAGGCATGTGTGTGCGGGCTTTGGGGCTCATTGGTGAGTGCAGCAATTCATGTGGCCATGAGTGTTGTGACGACACGCCCACTTGAGGCTTGCAGCCAGGTGTGGGGTGCTGGTCAGCAGCCACCGTCCTGGGTGTGGGGTGCTGGCCAGCAGTCATTGTCTGTTACCTTTATGAGGAGATTGGTGCACAGCCAGTATTCCCACACAGCAGCTCGAAGGAAGTCACGTGTTTTGGCATCCGTCACCCCCGAATTAGAAACAGGACAATAGAGGAAGTTGTTGGTCGGAACAATGGTCATTGCACTTGTCTGAGTGCATCTGCAGATCTCACAGCCTTGTTTGTTGTCTGAGTGCTCAGCTCTTGCTGGAGCAGGCCTCAAGGCCTTGCACTTTTCTGTGCTGGGGAAAACCTGTGCAGGACACCACGCCGGTGTCCTGCAGAAGAGGCTCCCGCATGCTCCGGCTTTTCCATGTTCTCAGCAGCCCGGAGGGGCGCTCAGGAATGCAGACCTGCCTGTACCCTTCCATCGCTCTTCCCTCGTGGTGTCCTGCTTTGGCTCGGGGACTTTACACTGTGCCCGTCAGAGGAAACCTTCAGTGTGCGCTGGCATGACCATGCACCAGACTTCCGTCGGGAGACTGTAGGCACCCCCCGCACACGCACGCATGCGTGCACACGTGGCTGCCGATATCTCTTGGTGGGCATGTGCCTACCCTACAGGCGCCTGCCCTGCCCCCCTTTGAGAATGCAGGCTTCCTGCGTCTCTCTCCCTCTCCAGCTCTATCTAGATCTTAGGAACCAGTATTTAGTCCTCCATGGGGTGGTATGACCTTTATTCTTTTTTGGAGTATGATGTGAAGGTTTATTTTTATGTTATTTTATGTTATAAGCAGGTCGGCATTGCCTTTAAAGCTGGGTTGATGATTCTGTTGTCTTTGAAGGTTTTGGTCACCTGAGTCTGTCCTAGCCGTGAGCCTCAGCTCTGCTGGCCCCTCAAGGAGGAGGAGGTAACTTCCATGCAATGAGCACCTAGACCCACATGCCCGCAGGTGGCTTCTCACAGGAAGGGGGCACTGGCAGGCCTTTTACACAAAAGATGCTAGTGGCATGTCATTGGCATCTGCATAGCTAACTGCCAAGGTGCCAGGTGAAGTCTGTCCACGTGTCCCGTGCGCTTGCTGCTCCACGCCCGGTCCTCACGCAGACCACTTCACATGGCCTTTGGGGGCCTGAGCCGGCACTGCTGCCACTCTGGTGGACAGGATAGCTTTCTGGGGCAGACAGCTGGGTGTGCTCCCCCACTGCAGCTCGCTGCTCTTCACTGGGCTTGGCTGAGTCCCACCGTGAGGCCAGGGATGGGGAGGGGCTGAGAGGACCCAGGTGAGGGAAACCAGGCTCCAGACCAGACCAAAGCCTGTAAGGTTTTCCTCAGGCTCACATGCATCTGTGGCGTTGCCCTTGGCCCCGAGGCTCCTATCTGAAGAGGGAGAGTGCTTGGACGCAGGCCTCCCCCTGTGGAGGAGGAGCCTTCCCTTGGCCTCGGAGGCTGCACCCAGAGTGCAGTCCCAGGTGTTCTGGGGTAGATCTTGGAGACCACAGCATGTGGCGTGCATTGGGGTGCACAGCCAGCCAGGTCTGGACTTTCCATAGAGATTCCACAGGGCCAGAGGAGCCCTGCTTAGAAGCTACTTCCTCACACTCTTCTGCTGCTATGGTTCTACCCCACACATGCACGTGAACTCCGGCTTCTCCCTGACATCGGAAGCCAGTTCCATAGGCCTGAAGGCAACTGCAGCCAAGAGGCCACAAGCTGTGCCAGAACCACTGCCCGTTGCTCTCCCCAGCAAGCCTTCCAGTAAGCTGCTGGGGTGCCTGTGGAGAGTAGGGTTAGCACATCTGCAGCACCCTCCTCCACCAACCGTCCTCAGGCTGCTTGGCAGGGCAGAGGTTGGCATGCTCGCCCAGTGACCCCGCTCTGAGTCCTGGATCTGCAGGACTGACCTGACCAGCGGACTGAGAATGTGTATTTACACACACACACCACTCCTGAGACTTGATCTCAGAACCTGGGCACTGTCCCTGAGCTATTTTGCTTAACGTTAGTGCTCTACCATTTGAGACACAGCTCGACTTCTGGGTTTTGGGTAGTTAACTGAAGCTGGTTTTGAACTGTGATCCTCAGATCTCAGCCTTCTAAGTAGCAGGATTACAGGCATGAGGCACCTATACCCAGACAGTTTTTGCAGATTTTAAAAGTGGTTACAAAGCAACCAGACAGGAAAGTCCACAGCACAGATGGTATGTGAGGCTCAAAGAGCCTAAAATATTACCATGCACCTTGGTGAATAGCTGGTCATGGTGGACTGGTTCAGAACATTCAGAACCAAGGGCTTGAGCGTGTTGACACAAACCTTAGAGCAGACTGTCTCAGCTTAGAGACGGCTGGCCTTCGGGGCCAGAACACCCTCTGCTGCAGGGTTGTGGTGTGCACAGAGAGTGTTGGCAGTGTTCCTAGGCTGAACCTCCTCCAGCTATGACATCGGGTTTGCCCCTGGCTGAGGACACGGACGAGGAATAGCCCAGGTCTGCTTGCTTCCGTGGCCCATTGCTTCATTTTTAGCTGTAGCTGAACTGTGCCTTGGAGTTGAGGCTTGGTCTTCATTTCAGTGAGTTTCCCAGGATAGGACAGGATAGGACCAAGGAGTGGCCGGACAGAGGAAAGGGTTTGCTCTTCATAAAATCACGTTGTTAGGATTTCTTGTACAATGAGTGGCTGCTGCTTCGTCACCGGCCTCTGTGGCTGTGTCCCGTGGGACTCCCTGATGGTCAAGTGGGAGAAGGCCATAAAATCACGACCACTGTGGTGTGAGGTCAGCAGGGTAACAATAAGGGAGGTCATGCCGCTTCCAGGAATGATTCAGAAGAGACAAGGGTGGGGGGACATAAGAAATGGAGTGTTCTTCTTGGATCTGGGGTGTGGACTGAGTGGGGTGTTCTGTGGATCTGGGGTATGGATTGAGTGGGTATCCTCCTTGGATCTGGAGTGTGGACTGAGTGGGGTGTTCTATGCATCTGGGGTGTGGACTGATTGGGATGTCCTTGGATCTGGGGTGTGGACTGAGTGGGGTGTTCTATGCATCTGGGGTGTGGACTGAGTGGGATGTCCTTGGATCTGGGGTGTGGACTGAGTGGGGTGTCCTTGGATCTGGGGTGTGGAGTGGATTGGGGCGTTCTACTATGGATCTGGCCTCAGTTGAAAGTCATTCTACAAGGAGGTCTTTGGAAGGAAGATTGTAGGCAGGTAGCAGTTTAGGGCCTGCTGTGACTGAGGAGCTGATAGGGTAAAAGACAGTGGTGGGAGGGAAGTATTTTAATTGTGGGAGCCAGTGAAGCTAGGGCTGCTGACTGCCTTGGACCTCAGGGGTGATAGGAGGAGCCGGGATGGGAGAACCAGGCGCTGTCCAGGAGCCATGCTAAGCCTGCCCTTCGGGGACTGTAGGAAGGACAGAGTGGAAGCTCGAGAGAGGGGCGGGGCTGAGTAAGAGTTCATCGTTGGTGAAGTGGTTATTACTGGACACGCTTTATCAAAAGCAGTTGAAAATCTTCCATTAAGCTATCAGCCCCAGACCTGCCTTAATATATGATATGAGCCCCAGTGTAGATTTTCAGCTCTTCTTTTATAGCGCTTCAGGCGGAGCCCAGTATTTGGAGGCCCACCTCCAGAAGAAGATGAGGTGCTACAATTCCCGGATCTTACCTTGTATTAGGGACCACTGGCCTCACATTCTTAGAGCATTTCTTCTTTTATATCCCTTCCTCCCCTCCTTTGGTATTTAAGCCCAGCCCCCTGCCTGATGGGACTACAGCCCGCACCACCATGCCAGCTTCCTAGGGTATTTCTAAGGAGATGGGTCTGGTTACTTTACTGTGTTGTGTTTATCCAGGTGGAGACACGTCACAGCAGGCTGCACAGGAATGATTAGAATAGACTTTCAGCCTGGTGCTACAGAGCCCTAGCCCCCTGGGGAGCGCCCCCTGTGGGCTGGGAGTCTCTGGATCCCCTAGAGTTAGAGGCACAGCTTGGCAGAGATGAGCATCCTTCCCACTCCCTGGGGGCCTGTGGCGCCATGTGGTCATCAATGCATTTTCTGACCAGGTCAAGAACCACTGCCAGAGAGGCTGACAAAGTCGGGACAGATTGAATTTCCCACAGTGCAGCCCTCCTTTACCTAGCTCCCCTCCCTCCACCGTCCTTCCACGGTCCAGGTGCTGACCAAAGACTCCTACGGTCCTCTTTCAGCCTCCATCTCCACCTTCCTGTCCCACCATGATACTGGTCAGCCAGGAAGGGTGCTCCCTGTGCATGCAGATGACAGGAAGAGGCAATAGAATTAGCCTTGGCCGAGTTGCTTGTCTCTGCTCAGCTTTCCTTGGCTGTCCCATGCATGTCCATCCCCAGGACTAAACTTCCTCTGAGCCAGGGTCACAGACACAAGCCCGGGCCTGAGAGTGTAGAGAGCCCACCTGCTGGGGCAGTGGCCGGGCCCGGGGTGCGCACGTTCTCTGGTCAGGCGACTGTGTGCAGCTGCGCGGAGGCTGCCCCTCACTCTGCCGGGTTGTCTCTCCTGTCTTGCAGATCCTCCAGCCACTCGATGGGGCTTCACCAAGGACCTCCTGTGTGTGTCACCTCCCCACCTCTCTGTAGCAAGAGAAGCGCCCGCAGCGCCTCCACAGTCAGGATGACGAAACTGGTGTTAACTGAGTGGCACTTATGGATTTTTAACTCTAACTCACAGTGAGCCAGCAAGCCCTATGTTTACAGTCCAACCAAAATCCCTTCTGTTTTGCTGCACATCTCCTGCGATTGTGAGAAGTACAAAGAGGAATACAAGTGTTACTTGCCGAGGAGGGCACACGCACCTAAAGCAGAACAAGAAGACGTCTTAATTTATCATTGAAGAGAGATGATAGTATTATTTATATAGATAGAATAAATATATATATATTTTTTGGTGGTAATGAAAATGGCTCCGCAGAATGCCGACTCAGAATCTATGCAAGTTCAGGAGTTACCGGTGCCCCTGCCAGACCCGCAGAAACCTGGAGACACGGAGGCGGAGAACCGCGACGAGACCATCAGTGAGGGGTCCATAGACAGAATCCCCGTGCGCCTATGGGTGATGCACGGGGCGGTGATGTTTGGCAGGGAGTTCTGTTACGCCATGGAAACGGCGTTGGTCACACCTATTCTGTTACAGATTGGTAAGTGCACCTCTCGTGGGCGGGGCTGAGGCTGAGTGCATCCAGTGTGGCTGGCCCAGTACCCACAGAAGCCCTGACACAGAGTCCGTCGCTTTTTTCCCGACCCTGTGATGGCTTTCTCCTCCCATGTAACCCAGCACGGAAGGCCTGGTCCTCTGATGTTGCTGTCAGATTGCAAGTTTGGGCAGAGTATGGCTGAACATTTATGGCAGGATGGATCAATACTGATTACCTCTTCTCTGCCCTACCCTGCCCTGCCCTACCGAGACAGACAAGCTGTGGCAGCTGCTGGCTGCACCTTGTTAGTCAGGTAGCTGTCTCGTCGTGAGTTCTAAGGGCTCCTTCTACATCCTGGTGAGATGTGCTTACCATGTTCATGTGTGTGCATGTGTTCCCCATTCTGTGGCTTTCCTTGTCAGTATCTGTCAAAAAGTTATAATTTTGATGAAACTTGACATATCAATGTTTCCCTTTATTCTTTATAAACTACGAAATCTGGAATTGCTGGCCCAGGGTCATGGTTTTCTCTTAGGTTTTCTTCTAGATGTTTTACAGTTTCAGCTCTCCTACTTCATCTTGAATTCAGTCTTGAACATAGTATGAGTCAGGAGTTCCTCTCCCTTGCATATGCAGTCCACTTGTTTCACCCATTTTTAAAGGACCGTCCTTTCCCACTGAGCTACTTCTGTGGCTCTTTATTGACACGAACTAATCATACACTGTGAGTGTATGTCCGGATTCTGCTGTGTTCTGCAGCTATATGATGCTTAGCTGGGCGATGCATCTGTAAATTAGGAAATCAGTTCCTCTACTTCAGTTCCTGTGCTTATTTCAGTCCTTCACATTTCCATAAAAATCTTGGAATGATCAATTTCTGTTGAAAAGCTATTTTATAACAATTGTAGTGAGGATTAAAGAGAATTGATCTTTTGATATTGAGTCCTCCAATATTTGGTTGTGGTATATCTTCTTAATGTTTTTTAGTTTCTCCTAGTGATGTTTTATAATTGGCAGTATATAAATCTCCTATGTATTAACTTTACCTGTGAGTCTTTAGTTGCATAATTTTGTATCTGGAAGGAGCTCAAGGGTGTGTGCCCAGCACATAGGAGTGGCAGATCACCTCATTTTTCTCTCTGGCTTTAGAGTGGAAATCTGGCGGTATCTGCCCAGCCCAAGCTTCCCAAACACCCCAACTCTGCTCTCCTTGCCCTGGGGGATCAGTACTTGATCTTGCTGCCTCGTGAGCCTGGCAGTGGGGGGGCTCCCTCTGTTCTACCTGGTCCAGCTCCCCTGACTCCACGGAGCTCCTAGAGTAGCAGCACTGTCTGTGCTGGTGTTGAGGAGTTCATGATGGGAGAGAGGGGGTGGATATGCTGTGGAGAGCCTCCTGCATGCTGGGGTCCAGGATGGCTGGAGAGGGGAGCAGGATGCTGGAAAGAAGGGACAGTGCGCCCGATGGAGCAGTGACCACGCTGGTCACAGGACCACCCACCAGTGTGGTCACAGGAGAGCTGCTCTAGCTCAGCCTGTGTGGTGCCCGCCCTTCCCAGGCCCTCCCGCAGGGGAAGCTCACAGGTCAGTGCTGTGTTCTGAACTCCACAGTATTGTCCACTCCGTTCAGAAGCTACCTGCATGTACACAGTGAGGTCTGCCCCTCTCATCTCAAAGACATGCAGTTTCTGTCCTAGTTCTTCCTACCTCCTACACGTAGCATTTTTTTATGCAAGCATCTTCGTGTCTGTCTCTTAGCATCCAACAGACCCTTAGCTGACTCCACATTAGGTCAGAAAATTGCTCTGTCCACTGCATCTTCCGCCATCTGTTAGTCTGCACCTGGCGGGGAGGACATGTTCCCTCCAGCTCGTGGGGACTGATGAGAGTCTTGCACCTGCTGAGTGACAGGTCCTGCATGCGGCTCCCTCTCCTTCAGATCCTCTGCTCATGGCTTCCTTACCCAATTTCCAACAGCTTGTTGAATAGCTCAACTTTTGGGAAAGAATTTTTTTCAATTTATTGTTATTGTAGAGGTGATAGAGGGTTACATTTGTATGAGTCAGGTAATGAGTACATGTCCATTCATTACAGTGTCTTCCCTTCCCTCACTCTCTCCCAGTCCCTCCCTCCCGTCTCCACCCACGAGTTGTAGAGTTCACTTTCATCAGCGTCCAATGAGCTCCACCGCTGCACTGTCACCCTTTTCCCCTCAAGTTCTGTGCCCTTGCTCTTCCCCTCCCAATGATACACACATGGATACACCATACATAAGGTAAAGAAGGCAGAATCACATTTTTAAAAAAAAGTTTTGTTTCCATATCTTAGAGTTCATTTCAGTATGTATATTATTTTATATAAATATGAAGAAGTACTTAAGCATCATGCCTTGGTGATTCTCTCCTAAGAGTATCCTCTTTGGTCTCCCTGTGTGTGAGTACTAGAATCCTGTATGATTTGTCATATCCCAGTGCATTTTAAATCTAACTTGGGAAAGACTTTTAAGGGTATATGGAATCTCAGCTCCAGGCTCAAAGTTTTGAAGAGAGGCGGCCCGTCCTGTTGTTGGGTTTTGCCTTGCTTAGGGCTAGAGTGGTCTCAGTGGTAAGACTGCTGAGGAGGGGAGATGAGCCAATGGGGCCCCATGGTGTGCTGCAGGCTGACAAAGGTCTTGGTACATGGCAGCCCCTTGTGGAAGCATCTAGAGGGCAGAGGCACTGGGCTTGTGAGGTCTGTGGAACACACGTGTGTGTCTGCCACCCACCTTCCAGTGGCTAGTGGCAGGTGCTTTACATGTGGTCACTGCGGGGGGAGCAGGGCATGGGATCTTGTTATTGTTACTATAAAGGTGATTATACTAGTCAGGTGACGAGAAAATGGCTTTTTAGGCAATGTCACCCTTTTCCTCACTCAGTTTTTCCCTCACCTCCCCAACCCACAAGTTATACAGTTCACTTTCCACACAGTGTCCAGTGAGTGCCATGATTGCCTTTGCCACCTTTAAGGGTCCAGTCATTTTTAATGAAGGTTTGGAGGCTGCCCGAGCCCTGTGGAATGTCCCTGTGAAGAGCCAGCCTGGCTGAGTCACCAGGCCAGCCGGAGGGGTGCCCTCCTGTGCTTTGTTCCCAGGTCATGGTTTTCCCTTGGGAAGGAGAAGTCCCGCCTCCTACTCCCGTTTATTGTTTCCCTCTTGGCTCAGAAAGTACTCTTAAGGGAAAAGGAAAAAGATAACAGAGGAAAAGGGTGCCTCTTGTTCTCTCGGCTTGACTCATGAATGAGACTGGGTTAGCGTGGGATCCTACCTGCTCCATCCTCTGCGAAGTCCTGACTCTAGCACCCAGGACTGGACAGAGGTGTCCCGGGACCTACCAGTGCAGAAGTCAGATTTGTTCTCTATTGGGGGTCGGGGGGTAGAGGAACAAAGCTGTATCACCTTGCAAATGGCCCTTGGGTTAAATACACCAGACATCCCTCTGTGGCAGCTTCCTGTGTGGTAACCTGGTGCCACCCTTTCCTCCTATGGGGACCCCCACTTCTGGCTAGTATGAGGCACGCTCACTTGGAGAGGTGCTGGCTGGGAGCAGGGTGCCTACAGGCTAGCAGAGCAGCCTTCTGCTGGGGGACACCAGAACTCTGCATGCTGTTTCAGAACCAGAGCCCAGCGCTAGCTCATCTCCTTGGTGGGAGGAGCTCCATGCCCCATTGCACTCCAGACACCTGGGTGATGGTCGCGTGCAAGTGACTATCCTACTGCTGCTGGAGATGGCTAAGTTTAGAATACCTGCCCAGCAAGTGCAAGGCCTTGAGCTACACCCCAGTAACAGGCCCTTCTCCCCTTCTCTCTCTCTCTCTCTCTCTCTCTCTCTCTCTCTCTCTCTCTCTCTCTCTCTCTCTGTGTCTGTCTCTCTCTTTCTCCATAAACATGGATGGCCTTAGGGGGGAACTAAGAAACATGTCTATGATTGCCTGAAAGCAGTGGCCCTAACAGTAGGTGTGTGCACTTGCACACTTACATGCTGTGGCTCCATTGTGAGCACTGAGCATTAGGGCCTGGTGGGGCCCTGCTGGAGGTGCGTGTGCAGTACTGACAGCGCCTCCCACACCTTCCTAGAGCCCCTGCCTTAGGCTACCTGGGGACTGATCTGGTCTTGCCTGGAGGCACCCAAACAGCCTTTGGTTTGTTTACCCATGACCCAGGCCTGGGCTGGGGTGAGCTCAGCTGTCGAGTACATGCTTAGCACGCACAGGGTCTGAGTGTCAGTCCCAAAGCTCCCCCAAAACAGATTTTGTCTCTGTTTTTTGGTTGGGTACACACCATGCATGGTCCCAGCCTCTCAGGAGTCTGGGGAGGATTGCTTGCATCTAGAAGTTCAAGACCAGTCTGGGCAACAGAGAGGACCCACCCCCACCTCACATTATTTGTCTGTGTGGTGCTGGGAATCAAATCAGGGCTTCATGTGCACCAGGAAAGCATTCTGACACTGAGTCACATGAACCTCACTTCAGAAATAAAGGGAGGGGGGGAAGAATGGAGGAAAAAAGAAAAAGCAGACCCTAGAGCTAGCCCAGACAGTTTCCTTCTTGGCAGGAAGAACTCTTTTTGTTTTTTGTTGTCAGTCGTGGGGCTTGAACTCAGGCCTGGGCGCTGTCCCTCAGCTCTTCAGTTCAAGGTGAGTGCTCTACCCCTTGAGCCACAGTGCCACTTCTGGTTTTCTGGTGGTTTGTTGGAGATAAGAGTCTCATGGATGAACCACAATCCTCAGACCCCAGTCTCCTGAGTAGCTAGAATTACAGGCGTGAGCCACCAGCGCCCTGCTAGAAAGAACTCATTTATTTATTTATTTATTTTATTGTGAAAATACCATACAGAGGGGTTACACTTACATGGGCACGATAACGATTACATTTCTTATCAAGCATTGTAGCCTCCTCCTTAGAAAGAACTCTTAAGAGACGTCTTTGCCCCCCTGCACTCAATACTGGGGCGAGGGCTGGGCGAGCACGTG